GCCCGGCGCCCGTCTGTATTTTTAGGGGCGTGCGTTTGCGTTCTGTCGCCGCGCCGAATTTTCGTGCCGAATTACAGGCGCCGCGGGGCCAATTCGGGTATGCCCTGGGTCGCTGAGCCCTAAGCGCGCGCTGCGCCGTAACTACTAGAACCGTAACGATGCCGCCCATCAGCTTGGTATAGTTGGCAACCAACCCCAGTTGCTGGCGAGAATGATTGGCTGACCACGGTCAAACCCAGTCAAGACCCCAAGCCGCGCAAGCTCCATGTAACAGTTTTTGCATGCTTACCACACCAACAATTGCTCGTTTGGAGCAAGGGGTGCGTGCGATCTCGCCATCGTAGGCGAGGGTGGCGCTAACGTGCGTTGCGGGACAGCCACACACCAACCAAAGCACACAGCGGCGCAGTAAAACGTTGTTGACTTGCAGGCCAAGTTTGCAGTGCGTGCGGAGGCCGCCATTTGGGCTCGTGTGCAAGGTTGGATTGACTTTGCCCCGACACCTGCATTGCGCTGTAAGAGTCCTGAAGTGCAAGGGACCGGCTCGTCCCTCCGCAACGCTGGTGCGCAAACTGAGCAGCAACAGCGTTGAGGGGCACGACTACGATGCGCAGCCGACAAAGAGAATCCTACATGAGAAACCGGCATCTTGAGCAGGGCACGCGGCGCAAATGCATGAGCAATAAGGGCATACCTGCCGCGATAGGAATGCCAATCAATTTCACGCACACACAGACGCAGACGCACAGACACACACCCACACACACATATCAACACACACACACATTCACACTCACACCCTCATCCAGTGACACATACACACACTCTCATCCAACAGAAACACTAAGGTCTCGTCCAGCTGGCATGTGGCGTGTAATATCAACTGCCCGCCTGGGCCAACGCGGCACCGGTCAAGGAAGCCCGCAGGGTGTGCCGGGGATGGGAAAGGGGGGTGCGCAGCCTTTGTAGGAAAGGTGTGTGAGAAGTGAAGGGACACCTGGGCTGCAGCCTCGCAAGCGCTTCGCGCTCGAGGCCCCCGCGTCGGCCCGAGTGTGCTCGCTTGGAACGCTGCGGCGTGGAAGTTGGTCACGACGCGGCGCGCAGTTGCAAGCGCGCATCTTACGGCGTGTGCAGGCCAGGCCGCCGCGCGCTGCTGAAGGCAGCGCACGCTCAACGGTGCCATGGGCATGCGTCGTGGTTTCGTTTGTGGGACTGAGGATTTTTTCGCGCCGCCGTCACGGCTTGGCGGGGCTGCATGGGAAGGCGTAGTGCGCCTGCCGCCCATGGCCCTCCAGAAACCGCCTTTGCAGCGATCAAAATTCTGTGCCGCCTGCAAAGGCTCCTGACTTGCGAGCGCGTGCCAACATGTGCCGATGCAGGCCGCATGCGGCCGCAGCGCAGGGCTCTAGCGGCAGCCCCAACTGCTATTGGGTTTGCAAAGAACGCAGCTGCTGCGACGAGGGGGCCGGGTCAAGGCTGATGCTGGCCAGACAGAGAGCAAGCCCCAACCAAACCATAGGCAGGGTCACGATGCTCGCCCCTGTGCGAGCTCGCCGGGAGCCCTTCCTCAAGCCGCCAATATGCCGCCAAGGGGGCCCCTCGGTGGCCCCCAGCCGCGCTGGAAAGAAACGGCACGTATGGGCCGCTGCAGCAGGCCCTGGCCGCGCCCCGTTCGCAGGGGCTGCGCGGCGCCGCGGCGCCTCAGAGGGTCTTCCCGTGGTCGGTCGAGACCTTGTAGTGGATCGGCAGCGACTGCTTAGTCAGCACGCCCGCCAGGTTAAGCACCTCGGCGGTGCTCATGGGGCCGTTGGGGCCGCGCCCGGCGGGCGTGACGTACGCTGAGTGCAGGTGCAGGTGGCGGTCGCGGTCACGGCGCCACTCCATCACGCCGCCGCCGACGACCTCTAGGGGCTCCGCCGTCACGTCGTTGGCCGCGGCCGTCGACATGAGCTGCATGGGGCGGCGCGGCGAAGCGAGGCGAGGTTGCGCGAGGTTGCGCCGTTTGCACCGGCCGGGCGCGCGTGGCCTAACCCATGACAGCACAAGTGGATCCAGGCCTGCCCGGCACAAGCGCACCAGTTGGCAACGCTTGGCGCATGCGCTCGACGCTCTCAACCTGAGCACAAGCCCAGCCGTGCTCAATAATACCCCCGGTTCACCCCCCTCCTTTTTCCCGCCACACCTGCCGGTGCAGCGCCTCCACCAGCTTGCCCTCGCTCGCGTAGTTGCTACCCCGCACCAGCAGCTTCTGCCGCCCGCAGTGGTCCCGCACCCGCACCAGGACGAACTTAAACTTGCCCCAGTCGTCCACCTCGACGGCCTCCAGCAGCGCGCCCACCCACAGCCCGCCGCCGGGCGCGTGCTGCGCCTCCCGCCACCTGGACAGAGGCAGCAAGCCCCGATGTCGGACGCATCAGCAGCCGAATACAAGAGAAGGCATGCCCAAAGGCGCCAGAAGTAAACCCAGCAGCGGGCCACCGCCGCACAAAGCACCAACAGCGCAAATCGACCCGCGCTGGTCCCCCGCTGGTCCTTCCTCGCCCCGCCCCGCCCACCTCTCATCCGCAGCCTTGTCGAGGTCTGTCTGAGTCTGCAGCAGCTGCGTCGCCCGCTTCGTGACAGCCTTGAGCTCACGCGTCGCCGCGCCGTGCCGCCCCCCGCCGCC